CTTTCGAACGGTTTTCAACTCAACTTGAAATAGAGTTACAGCGTTCAAAATTCGAGGTCGGAAAACGACAGAACTTTTTGAAAGGCCTAATAGATGGCATCGACGACGTCCTTCACCATCGTACGAGCGCGAATGGTGTCATTGGGTATGCGGTCTCGGAGCGTTACACCGCACATGGCCCTCTCCATGGCTCGCTGAGTGACTGCGAGTTTCTCCTCTTCAGAGACTGTGGTGCTCCACGTCAACGGGAAGAACGTGTGAGTTGAAGACGTGAGCTTTGACTTTAGGGTCTACGTTGGAGACTTCGGGGTTAACGTCCGATACCTAAATTGCATGATCTTTCCAAAGCTACAAACATTCGTGGGCAGACCTGAGCATATTGGTATTATTGCATGTTCACAAGGGGTGGGGACCAAATGGTATTTTTCCCATGGCGCACATCAGCGATTATTGCCGCCGCTGACGGAAGTCCTATAGCAGAATACTTTTGAATTGTCCCTCTGTGAAGTAGAAGCGAGCCCTCCTTCACTGCGCTCACCTTTTTCAGAACATAATGTCATTTACCATCACCTCAAAGAGACCTATCGTAATTGCTCCAGCCTTAAAGCGATTACGATAAAGAGGGAGCGCATCGGGGAAGCATATGCACCACACGAATCAGTTACTTGGCTGCCAAGGAAGCGAGGTGGCGCTTTCACGACGAAAGGTGCGCTGGTGAGCAGGACTTCGAAAGCACTCCGCCCCCAAAAGCGATCCGCCCACTAGTTTAGTTGGTGATTTGGACGAGCTGCGTTGCCAGCAGCGGCACAACTGGAGCAACTCGATGGAGCGTGGTTTGGCATGGTGCCACCAAACGCGTTGCGATGAACTCGTTCATACGTCCGCATTCTGAGCTGTTACCTTACCAAGAAAGGGGGTCCCATTTTGCGTTTTCTTGACGGATTTCTCCGCTTTTTTCGCCATGGCGTGCCATTGAGCACCACCACGTCTCCTCAAACCCTCTTGAACCTATCGTAATCGCTGCCTTTAAGCTACTGCCCAAGTTTTGAATCGATTCACTACAGGATAGTCTCCTAGAGATATTAGCTCTAAACCAACTCCATGTAATCCGCTTCCTAGCCGGCATCAGAATACGTCGAATTGGTCCGCCGTCAAAAAGCCTGCTGAACTTAAGCCGTGCACAATTTTTCAGTGGCAGATTTTTCCAATGTCGAGGTGTGAAATATATCATGGAGTTTTTTTTTCTTCATAAACTGGAGTGCGCTCCTCAATTTACAGTTGAGAGCGTTTGCTTTGAATTTTACCATTTTGTGTGGTGTCAAGTACGCTTTAAAACGTGAGATTACGATAAAGTCTGTGTGCAGCATGGAAGAACATGCACCAGTGTAAGCAGTAGTCAGGGGCCCAAAGGAATCGAGATGTGGCCTTTTTGTGACTAAAGGTGCGCTCGTTGCAGCGCCCTGGGGCTGCCAATCCTTTCTGAGCTCCGCCTCCGCCTGTGCTCCGCCCCTCAGCAGATCGCTGTTCGATTATCATTTTGATAAGGTATGCCACTTCGAGCGCGTATCCAATAACTTTCTCATGGAATGCTATTAATCAAGCATGATCTATGCTGGTATGATGGTGCTATCGGTTTAACGTATGCAAACATTTCTTGGTTGCTAGCTCGTCCATTATCGGAGGTCAACGGGCAGAAGAAAGGGGTCCCATTTTGCGCGTTGACGGATTTCTTTGCTTTTTTCGCCACTGGGGCATTATTCAGCATCTCCACTTCCACTATGAACCCAATCCAATCCTATCGTAATCCCTCGCTTTAAATGTGATTTCAGAAACCCCTTTTTTATTGTCCCCCATTTATGTACTCTCCACTCGCTTTGAAGGGATTTTTAGAGGTTAGAATTTCCTAGTGAGAGAGCATCTTTCACTTGAATCCTGGTCTGATACACTAACAGGAAACGGTGGGGGTTTTTAAAGCCGTGAATGTGGCTTGTTTCGCCAAGGTGTGGTATTTCTACCCGACACACTATTCCACATTTCGAAACCTGGACCTGTGTCAGAAAAGGCCCATCACTGGAGTTCGGGATTCAGTGCCAGTAGCAGCAGGCGTGACCATGACCATCTTTGGCATTTTCAGTATTATAGTTGGGCTTATTAAAAATAGTCCAATTGGCGAATGAAACCCCGTGAGGTGCGGTTTCCACAGAGTTGATGAGTTGATGAAAGTGAGGCATAGCGGCATATTGTACCCTCGTAGAAACTTCAATGAGTCTCGTAACCGTGTGGATATGGTCGATCGTGCTGAACCCTCTTCGGAACCCTGCTTGCTCGCATGGCTGTCCTTCATCTAGTATTCTGCCGATCCCTACTGGGGAAGCTTCGAGTGAAAAGTTTGCTTGCTTAAAAAAGAGGCAGTTTGGGGATGGTAGCCATGTCATGGGGTCTCCCTTTTGTACAGCAACACAGTGCTGCTTATTTTCTGCGGAGTAGTTCCTTGCACCTCCACCGGTAGCGCATGAAAAGTCGAGCCAGCGCTTCGATGACAGCTTTAGGCAGAATTTAGATATTGCGTTCAAGCAACCATATAGGGACTGGTGATTACATCTTCTAATATCTCGCACATAATGATAACCGGTGACTTTGAAAAGAGAGAACCGACAGGATCCATGCGCGCCTCTCTGCAAGAAATGCTGATTTCCTAACGGCGGTGCAAATTGGCATGTCGAAAAATTAGCGTCTCTAGCCTATACTTTATTTACTCTCCTCCATTGACTTTCGAAGCTGCATTACTGATCCGTTCGGATGTAAAAATGCACAATATCACTCCCTCTTTTCTACTTTACTAAAAGCGCTAAACTTTGGTGCTGTCTCTGAGTTTATCTGTCATGGCTGTTGATTTGTGTCGCGTAAATAGTGTGTAGTGTATGTATGTGTGTCCGTCCGCAAAATGAAGTGAGTGAGAAGGAAGCTCATGGGATAAACAAACCGCTAACAAATCGGGTAGCTTACAGGATTTGAGATATCAATGTTTTGTAGCAGGATAGTTGTGATAACACTCTTAGGGCTATATAAACACCTGCTTAGCACACTTCCGTTCATTCCACATGGTGCTGCAGTGGCAGCTGGAGGGCAGTGGAGAGAGGAAGGGATGAGGAAGGGAAGCGAAAAATCTACCGTCATATCATGATTGTGTCCCTTCTACTGTATGAAACACCATTGTGTTGCATACGCGTCACTTCCAGGTGTTGGTGTCACAGGAGGAAGGGACCATAGCGGAGGATAGAAAGCTTGCGCAGGAAAGGAAGGTCCCGGCGGTTGACGGGGGACTAATCTGGTACAATATAATACAGCTTCAAGCTTTGCGGGCCTATTGTGCAAGGGACCGGTGAACTGTTCTTCGCTAAATCGCATTTAAACTGCGCGAGGGATCCATTTTTCCGCCGAGATACCGAATTTGCCGAAAAGGTTTTTATGCGAGGGTTCCACTTCCATCGCCAACCGCTCTGCGACGCCACATTTTCTCAAAAGAATAGCTCTTCGCCCTGTGTCAAAAACGTCTACTAACGTGCTATCTGATATTTCTGGTTTGCACTATCTGATCTATGTGAGCTTCGGATGCGAGCGTTCGTGCTTAAACAGTACCAATCGTCACATTTGTTGTTATCCGTTTTGGCACATCCATGCTTGGTTGCGAGGATACCAGCCACTATCTCAGCGTTCCCACAACAATGTTGCCACAATTGTTGCTCCGCACACGAAATAAGATGGTCCGATTTTTTGTACCTTTCTCCGCATACTGTGGCATCCTAAAGTTAGCTTCCTGGCTCCTCTTTAGGGCTTGGGTGCAAACTCCCTAATCGTTGCCATCCTCACACTACTATGCATATTGAAGTGAATGTGCTCAAATTTGGGGCGATTAAACATCGTCAGGAATGAATTTTGCCTTTAAGCCATTATTTCGGTGAAGATTTCATACACATTCTAGCGTATGATAATGTCATAGTCTTCTTTTTCTACGATGAGGTACGTGGTTTAGGAGGCACACGCAATACACACTGGATCGAGGAGTGAAATTCACGGCAAAAATTCCCTCTGCCATATCGCCTAATCAACTTATGTACCGTGCATGAAATTCGATGAAAGTCAGTGGTTAAGAACCTTGAAATATGTTCCAAATAATAACGTTCACTACAGTAAGACTTCAAAGGATCGACCAGTTTCGAAAATACTACGATTTACAACTATTTCTCATCACAATGGAAGGGTTATATGAGGTCAGTACAGAACTGCGAGAAATGCGCTGCAAGTCTTCGACCGTGTTCAGGCGCTGCTGCTGCTGGAACTGTTACGTCATTTCGGATAGCAGCCACTCCCGGTAGAAATCGTCTGGAATGTCGGTAGTTGGAGAACAGTGCATCAACATGCACACATATACATATATGCATTGAGGAGCCAAACCTCAAGGATGCAAAAAGATGTAATAGAATGCTAACTAACCCGTGATTCATGCAACTGTGATGTCTCCACTGATTGGTCTCATAATCAAAAATTTCAACGGTCTCTTGAATGGTACTGCCATCATTCCCACCCACAGCGTACAGCTGTTTCCCGGCAACGACCAGTGCCACCTGCAAACAAAATAACTTCAGTTTCTCAAGGGCCATAAGAACAAGCTTTTGTAATGTATCATAGAATGCAAGGAGTTCTTACACCTTCTCGTTTGATATTCATGTCGGCCACTGTAGTCCATTCATTAGTTAAAGGATTGTATTTTTCGGCTGAACATAAACAGGATGATTCATCGGATCCTCCAACCGCATACAATTGGCCACAAATCACTGCAGATCCCAACTTTTTTCTTCGTGTACACATAGGAGCGATCCCTTCCCACTTACCAACTCGTGGGTCGAATCTGTAACGTTAAAAGCAAAACCGTACTTACTATAAATGCTTCGTCTGTCGTCTTATCGTCTGCCGTCTGTCTGTCTGTATGTCTGTGTGGGATGGGTGGGCCAGGTCTCGCGAAGTACAAAACACACATCAGCTAAGCGGAGCCCCGCCCACAGTGGGCGTGGCGTGCGTCGAAATGAACTGTACTGAAGACCAAGATTTCGATTTCAGTGACAAAACGACCTCGAAACTGGGCCAAAAAGTGGGTAAAGTGTGCATTGGTAAGTCACATCGAATTAGGGAGACCCACCCCCGGTGGGCGGGGCGTTCTCCAAAAAAGCAGTGCTTTATGAAAAATTTCATAACTCGGTTGGGAGAAAGCCTACAGAGCAGAAAACAAATTGGTGTAGGGGAGCAATGTCTAAGGTGTTCCCATGACGTGGGCGGAGGCCCGCCCACAATGGGCGGAGCGCGCTCTGAAGTGTACAGCATTTTCTACAAGTCCTCATAATTCGGGCCGGAGAAGTCTTAGTGAGCCGGAAAAAGGTGGATAGAGGTGGGTGGAGGAGGGTGGGCGGGGCTGACCAAAGTGGGCGGAGTTTGCGACGAAAATTCATAACTCGGTTCCGAAGAAGCCTACAGAGCAAAAACCAATGATTGTAAGGGAGCAATGTCTAAAGTATGCCCAACAATTATGATGTGAGCGGAGGTCTGCCCACAATA